ATATATATATATATATATATATATTATCTTTATCTCTGTATCCATCTCTATCTCTTTTTTGTGTTCGTTCGTTACCGTGCTGAATCGATTTCAACCTGGAGTCCCGGATTGGATCAAATTTTTATCTATGATCCTAGATCTTTTCTCCTTAATTAGATTCGTGATTAATTTTCATTAACAAATATATTCGTCGATCATTGATAGTGTTAGATTTATAAAGTTGGAATTTCAGTAATTTTGACATGAGTTTTACTCTTCTTTTTATGTTATTTTTATTAATTTCCTTTTGTTTTTTTTTGTTTTTCTTTTTTGTTTTTTTGAAATATGTGTCTCCGAGAAGATCTATCGATCTTCTGATGTGTTTCATTTTGGAAAAAATCGTTAAAAATTATCCTGGTCAATCGTATATACCTTTTTGTTTTAAATATAAAAAAAAAAAAAAAAAAAAAAAGAAAGAAAAAAGAAATGAGGCATTAGATTTCCTACGTAAAAAATAATGTCTTGTATTTCGTCTTGCAATTAGTAATATCGTTAATTATTTGTATAGTAGAGCAAAGGTGTTCATTATGTTAAGCATCAAAAAATTCGTCGTCGTCGTCATCGTCGTCGTATCCCGAAATTGTTCCTGTCCTTTGATTCGAGGGCTGCAACCCTTAAGAGGGTCATTTCTCGCTACCTATCATAAAATACAATGTTCGAGTGAGCACGTAGGTGGGCACTTTGTCAGGGACAACGAAGAAACTCGCCGAGGGTTCACAGTTTGGATCGTGGCCAGCTGACTTGGAATTGGAAAATAGTGTCGCGAATATTTTCTTCTCGCGATGGCGATATTTCGGTGTAGAAAAAGTAGAAATTTTTGTCGTATTCCATTAAAGAGAAAAAGAGAAAGAAAGAATGGAAGAAAATAGACGAAAGAAAGAGAGAGAGAGAGAGAGAGAGAGAGAGAGAGAGAGAGAGAGAGAGAGAGAGAGAGAGAGAGGGAGAGAGTCAGCTCTCGAGATGAAATCGAGAGACACGTTAATAAAAAAGAAAAGAAAAAGAAAAAGAAGAGAAAAAGAAAAGGGATGACAATATCATCTACTTTTTATTCTAATCGCCTTTCGACATATTTTTTTCCTTCCTTCTAGCTGTTCTAACTACTTTCCTTCTTTCTTTTCTTTTCTTGTTTTTTTTTTCTTCTTTTTTTTTTCTCCTTGTCAACCTGACTCTCTTTCGTTTTCGATTAAAAAAGAGAAGGATAGAAGAATGACGTGTTGGGTCATGGCAAGATCTCGAAAATTAACGAGCATACTCAAGTTTCTTTACTGCCGCAATGAATCACGGAGATTTTGAAATTGCCTTGATTTCTTTTTTTTTTTTTCTTTTCTCTAGACGGCGAAAAAAATTGGAGTGTAGAGAAAACACAGAGAGAGAGAGAGAGAGAGAGAGAGAGAGAGAGAGAGAGGAAGAGAGAGAGAGAGAGAAAGTGAGTGAGCGAGTGAAGATTAACTCATACTTGCATATCCTACATTTGATACATCAAAAATTGACGTCTTTTAATATTTACTGATAACATTAATGCGATCTAAATATTTCAAATTCAATTATGTATAAATCATGTGTAGGCAAAGTAATGAAGGTTAAAAAAAAAAAAATACGAAGGGACTGCTCCCTATGTCTCTCTTTTCTTCGCGTATTTTATTTTTTATCTTTTGTTTTTTATGTTTTATTTTTTATTTTTTTAATCTTTTTTTATTTCTCCTTTTTATATCTTTTTTATTTTTTATTCACCCTAAATAAAAAGAACTTCCCTCTTACGTTCGATAAATGTCGTCAATGCGATAAGCATTGAAGTTTGCTTCGATGTTCGTTCGGGAGACTTTATGTGTAAATAAAGTATTAAAATTTTGTTCGCCCACGATACTTCTTGATGACGGTGATAACAATCGTCGGACGTCATTAACATTTCTTAGAATTTTCATATAAAACAAAATTCTTCATACATCGTTCAATTCCATTCTATACAATTAATTCATATATTAAATTAGTATAACAAACAGATATAGATTTCATAGTCACTTGTATTACTTAAAAACAATACACTTTCTAATATTATAGAGATCGCTGATAATAAATTGCAACTTCGTGTAATTTCAATAGAAATTTCTTGTTGAGAATTTAAGAGATGATTTTTTTTTTCTTTCTATTTTTCTTCCCGTTTTTCTTTTCTTTTCTTTTCTTTTCTTTTTTTTTTTTTTTTTTTTTTTTTTTTTTTTTTTTTTTCTTAAGAAGAACTTCGTCTGTTCGATGATAAATGTGAATTTTCCAATGAGTTTAAATAAACTTGACTTTCTCATCAAAGATCGTCCTCCAAGTTTTGAAACTTTTCGTATTTCATCAGACCTTTATGGAAAGTGTCGTAATCCTTTTCTTTATCCTCCTTCGATAAAGATTCTTTTTCTCTTAGAGCAAGAAATAGAAGTATCGGACAATAGATTATATTTGCCACACCTATGATCCTCATGACCCATCGAAATCCAATTTCCCTTACCAACTCTCCGCCTGTGATTGGTCCTTCGATAGAAAAAGATATAAAAAAGTTCTTTTTTTTTCTTCTTCTTCTTTATCAGAATAAACTTCTTTTAAAGAAATTTTATTTTAAAGAAAGTTGAAAAAAGTTTTCAATATATATATAAGAAAATATTTACCTAGAAAATAAGCAAGGCTTACAGCGACCTGTTGAATCGAGTAAACGGGGCCGTAATTACCATTTTGATCAACTAAATTAGCCAACAATGGTACCAAAGCAGCATCAGCTATACCAATGCCCAAACCCATTCCAAAATGTGGAAATATCAATTGCGACATGGTCATTGCCGATGGTATCAAAATGGCGCTGATGCCAACCAGTAGCATGGCCAAGATGGCGACTCTACTGCGTCCATAACGGTAGGCCATCATACCAAAAAAGTTTGTGCCTATTAAATATCCAACGCTGTCCGGTATGAAGACTGTTCCCAGCTGCCATTTCTATAAGGAATATAATAATATTAAAATGAATGTATTTTTATTCTTCATGTAAAACTTTATTTACCTTAGGTTTTATATGGATACGAAGCCAAATTGGTAAACATGGTTCCAATATAGCCATTGGTGAAGTCGAACACCAAATTGCACCAGCGATTATAATAACAAATGGATCTGATAATAGTTGTCTCCAGTTTGTTTCATTGTTGGACGACTTACAGGATAATAGAATCATACATTAAAATCAAATTGATTTTAAATCTAATTAAGATTATAGAGATAAATAAATTGAATAAAATTTAATTAAGATTATAGAGATAAAATTTACTTCTAAATTAAATCTTATTAATTAAAGCTTACCTCTATGTCAGTCTGAATGTCGAGTGTTGATATCTGCAAACCTGTTGAAAGAAAAAAAAAAAAAAGAAATACGAAGAATTAACAAGAGATAGAAAAATGTATGTAATAAGAAAATGAAGTGTCTGTTAAAGAAAAGAAAAAAAAAAGAAAAATAAAAGAGAGAGATAGAGATAGAGAGAAAGAAAAAGATAAAAAAGAGAAAAGTAAAAGGAGAAGTTAAAAATAGGATACTCCTGTACATATCAAAACGACGATGAGGCAGGAGACCAGCAAAAATGGTGCCATCTTTCCTTCCAAATCATAAAGAATAGAACCTATCGGATATCCAAGAAGAACACCCAAGGCGATACTTCCAAGAACGAATCCCATGATCTCTGATCTTTGATCTTCTTCAGGATATTGTGAGGCTACCAATGACATCCCGGATACACCAATGCAAGCCGATGATATCCCTTGAATGCTTCTTGCCAGGAAAAGTATTTCATATGTTTGTCCAAATGCAAATACTGTAAAAAAAAATAGAAGAAAAAAAAAAAGAAGAAGAACAAATGATTCCAATTTACACTGAATTCTTACGTGAATACTTTCGGCGATCAATTGCCTATAATTTTAAGAATTATTGATATATTTCAAAATAAAAAAATGTTGCTATCATCGTCTAATTATACAGCGTTCTTACACAGTGCAACCAATAAGAGACAAAGATTTCCCAGAAACAAAGGTCTTGCGTATCCAAAAGCACCAGTGAAACTTCCAACAGCTGGATTAAGAATCAATTGGACGAAAGCCTTCGAACTAAGAAGGAAACCAACTTTACCATTCTCATCTTCGATAGCGCTGGTACTATTCTTTCCATCGAGGGAACAAAGATAATCTGGGATGATCGGCACTGAAAAAAAAAGAAAAAAACAAAGAGTAAATAAATAAATAAATGAATAATCATATCCATTTTCGTTAGCCCTTTCTTGTTAGCCCTTAAAAAAAAAAAAAAAGGATTTCTTTCAAGAACGAAAAAATACCATCATCAAGGTGTTTGTACATTTTTCTTTAGATTATATACATATATATATTTTATATATATATATATATATATATATATATACAATGTAAGAGGATATTTAGTAGAACCTTTCGTATTTACCGACCACCGTTAGAAGCACGTTGTCTAAGAAGAGACTAACATACACTACTGTCACGATGATCATGCGAGATCTCTTCAAGTTCTCCAATGTCATTCTGACTCATGGATGATGTCGTAGAGCTTATTTTTTATTTAGTTCCTTTTTTGGCCAAGAAAATTCACAAATTTGTGTTCTCAAGATCGCGTGGGTAAATGTGGCACGTGTTGTGATCGATCGTTCAAAATTATGATTTCCAATTCTTCGATCGAATCAATCACACTATTTTATTCTTATTATTATTTTTTTTTCTTTTTCCTTTTCTTTTCTCTTACTTTTTTTTTGGTCTTTTGTTTGTTTGTTTGTTTGTTTTTTTTTTGTTATTTTTGTTATTTTTGTTATTTTTTTTTTTTTAATTTTTTTTTTTTTACGTAATTGTATTATTGAATATACCGAAAAAAATTCGTTTCCTTGGAAACATAAATCTCGCTTTTCGTAAGAGCATTCTAAAGGTAACTGAAAAGCCGAACACCCACGATCAAGCTTTTATACGGTCTTTCGAGCATGCTCGTCCTTGCGCAGAAGCTTTTACACATTACGTAGGAGAAGGGCTCGAGGATACTCGCGGCACTTTCACGATCCGTTGCTCTTCTCGATTTATCATTATTATATACTTGCTTATCAAGGTACACCAGCCATCCTTGCTTTCTTATCGAGCTTAGATACTTATGACTCGCCATATGATCTGGAAAGTAAATCGTGATATTGATAACGTGAAATGTATAAAAAGGGATGAAGCCGAATATGATTTTTACTTGCTGAGGAATCGATCGAAATAAATTAAAAAAAAAACAAAAGAAAAAAAAAAGAAAAGAAAGAGAAAAGTAAAGAAGAAGAAGAAGAAAATTCTAATAATAATGATCGCAATGGAAATGAACATTGAAAAAAATTGTAACGTTCGTTTGAAAATATTTCTGAAAGGTTAAAAATTTTTTACATGAAAAACGTCAAATAATCCTATTACAAAATTTCCATTTGTATTAATTAAAACTTTTTTTCGCGAAGAATTAATAATAAATATACTTTGAATCCTTCGATGGAAAACATTTGGTTCGCATAGTTCTTACGGCCCTGTCATCGATATTTTCCCGATGGGACATGCACCTGTGCCTCGATTGTAAAATTACGATCGACCATAATGCAATTTTGGAAGGGGGAACGAATTGATTCTATACTCTGACGTACATGGGACTACGTTATCTTCCTCAATGTGGACCATCTCTCTCTCTCTCTCTCTCTCTCTCTCTCTCTCTCTCTCTCTCTCTCTCTCTGTTTCACTCTCGCATACTCGTTTTACAACTTTCGTTAACTTAATTTCCTACCTATGCGAGTCTATAATTAAAGTAACGTACACGTTATACCGATGAAAATGATAAAAAAATATTTTAATAAACACGTTTAATTATGTTTCAAACATATTTTATTATAAATAAATAATTAGATTGCTATATATATATATATATATATATATATATATATATGCAGATTGATATTAATTAAGAAATATTTCATTTGTTAGGAGTAATAGAAAAAAATTATATATTAATAAAAGTTTCACAATTTCATGAAGATAAAGGACATCGATTATGAACAGAAGAAAGTAACGAACATTGAATATTCAACGAATTGAATAAGCTATTATTAATTTTATTATTGTAAAATAATTTTATTATATTTTTCCTTTCAATATATAATGATAACGGCTTTAGTAAGATAGTAATTAAACTTATTGTAAGATAGTTTTGTATGTTTTACAATTTTTTCATTATCTCTTAAGATCATTTACATTTGAAAATACGTATTATTATGTACAATAATACTAAACTAATATTTCGTCAATTGGTTAACTTTATTTCTATACTTGTTCAATAATCTTTTTTTTTTTTATATTTTTCAAAACAGTTGATTAAAATATGAAATTAATGAAATTAAACTTTCAGTTTAATCAGAAGGCATGTATTTTTTATTTCGTAATCTTAAAATATTTCACACATTAAATTATAAAACTTTTTTTTCTTTTTTTTTTTTTTTTTTTTTGGTATATTACTTTTAATAAAGGAGACATTCCTTAATTTATATCAATAATTTATATCAATCAATCTATATATAAATTAAGAAATCAAAATCTTGTTATTCTATTAATATCTAAGTCCTCCTGTTCCTCACAAATCGTCGCTTCTGTTTGTCCCATTTTTGGAGTGGCACATCTCGAAGGATACGATTCGTCGTGTTCTCTTCGGTTCAAAGATAATCTGTTCTCGACGTAAACGTCCGTCTCGATACAATCTTTCTCCTCTAATATTAATTTTTTCTTCTTCTTTCGTTGAGACTTCGGTAAAGCGTAAGCCGAATCTACGTTGCTCCTCTCGATCTGGACGCTTTGAGGCTAAAACATAATGGCACTACTTGAACATTTTACTCTGATTCTTTTTTTAAGATTTCCATGAATTTACTTTCTTTCTTTTTTTTTTTTTTTTTTTTTTTTTTTTGACAAACTAATAATCCTATCGATAATATTATTCATCGACTTTCCGATTTATTTTTAAAACTGATTGAATTTTTGTTTTTTTTTTATATACAATTATGTACGCATATATATATATATATTTATATAGGTATGTAATTTATATATTAATATCAATTAATAACATTATTAAAATGTATTGATAAACTTTTGTATTAATAAACTTTACTCATACCTACATATATAAATATAATATATTTGTATAATATTATTTATATGTATATGATATTAATAATATTAAGATTAATAAATAAATTATTTTGTATGATATTTATGAAAACGTTTGGGACACGTTGATTGATAATGTAATCACTAGCCATAAATCGATATAATTATCTAATATCGTTTGTATATTTTTTCACATAAATTTAGTCTTGTTAAATAATAAATAATCGAAATTTAATTTATATAAAATAAAAAAAAAAGAAACTGAAATGAAATAAAATTTTTTATAAACATTTAAAATAAACATTACAAAATTGTGTTTCAATTAAACCTGCAAATTATAATACGTCGACGTCCAAATCAATAAATAATAATTATCGAATTTTTTTTTTTTTTTTTATTTTCTGATAATATAATGGATATATATATATATATTAATTTTATCATCGTCATAGAGTCACTCACATCAATATTTTCGACGCATACACGTGGTACACCGTATGAATTTTCAATTTCTCTCATCTCCGAACGAAAACCATAATTATTGTAACCTGGTATTCTCCTGGGATCAGGACTCCTGCAGTGACTCAGTGACCTTGGATTTGGGCTTGAACTACCGTAATAATTTGGAAACATAGGAGGAGCTTGTAGGTTGTTTGTACTACCAGCACCCATGGGATGAACGTAATCATAAAATCCTCGATTCTATATTAGAATCATAAGAGAGAAAGATCTATTATTTATTCTCGATCGATCGATACAACAAATAAACAATATTTCTTTCCTTTTTTTTCTTTTTTCTTTTTTCTTTTTTTTTTTTTTTTCAAATTTCATCAAACATCAAGTGTAAGAGCAAAGATGAATATGTGACGATCTTCTGTGAAATAAAAGAAGCATAAAATGACTTTAACGTAAAATATTACGATGAGTTAATCTATAAAATAATAATAATAATAATAATAATAAATAAATAATGATTTAACAGAGAATCTATAAAAGGTTGCACATGCGATAACGTGCTTTTAATCCAAGTAAGAAATCTATGCGAGGCTTAATTGGAGAAAGGGAAGAAAAAGAGGGGTTGGGAGGGGGCTGGTGCGTTACACAAGATTTACGATACAGTTCAATGAACCGTGGATGAAAAGGCTTTTTGAAACTAGTCAAGTGCTAAAATAAAGAAAAAGTAAGTAAATGAAGAAAGTCAGAAAGTTGACTCTAATTAATTTTTGAATTTTGAAATGAAAGTGTTATTTTTGTTCGTTGATTCTTTTTTCTGACCTGTCTAGCAAAAGCATTTGTTGTTCTTGGATCGGATATTAAATCGACGGCAGGATTGCATCTTGCTCGAAAGTCTATCTCTCTTGGCAAATTTGTCACCATGTAATAAGTTCTCGGAATGAGAATACCAATGATGATTAGGTAGGCCGTAGCTAATATACCAAAACAGACCACAGTGTCGCGAATTTCCGGCTCCATCAGGATGAAAGACGTCACCCAGATAGCCCAGCTAACAACTAAGCCAATCACTGTTCCAAAAAAACACTTCCCTTCGCGATAATTTCTTTCTATGTGAGCGATGAAACAGCAAACGACGAATAACATTGCCAGTAAGAATATATCGTAACCTATAGAAATAAATAAAAATTAGAAAATATTTTCTTATTTATCTTATTTATAATATTAATACAATAATATATATATATATATAATATATTAATATAATAATCAGATATATATATATATATACATATTATTTTTATATTATAAAATATGATATAACAAAAATGATATTTCGTGTATATATCGTGTAATAAAATTAAATAGACAGACTATATTAAATATTTCATTATATACATATATATATATATATATATATATATATTTATCTTATTATTATATTAAAAATAATGAATTATTACGAGAAGACATGACAATTATTTTGTAATAATATTAAAAAGATTTAAAAGTCTTCTTATCTTTATTTATTTATATAGCGAAATAATTTCTACGGTCTTATAAGTTTCATTACAAAAAAAAAAAAAAAAAAAAAAAGAAAGAAAAACGAAAAAAAAAAAATAAAAATAAAAGAAAAAAGAATATTATGATTTTGCATTAAAAGATTACCTAAGAGAGCAATAAAAATGAGACTCCTGACTACGATAGCGGAGTCGAGGGTGCTGAGAAAGAAATAACTGGTCGATATGGCGATTTGTACACCGAACACGAAGAACACCATTAGCCCCTGGAGGTAACCGTTTATGTGAGTGGTAAATAGACCACCCGTAGAGAATGCTAGAAATAGGGCCCTCGACAACATCACTGAAAAGAGCAGGCCAAAGGCTAACGTAGTCACGAAGATCTTCCTTGAGTTCAAATGCTCTCGAGTACTATACTGATCGTCGTTCATGCAAAATGGTAAAACCGTTTGCAATGTGAATATATTTCCTAATATCAGAACGATCGTTAACGTTGGATTTCCATCTAGTATATCCTCGACGAAATAACGATATAAAATAAATACGATGATGACGATGCAAGCAAAAGTACCGCTAACGGCAACCGTTAAGAAGATTGGTATCCAAGTTTCTGTCTTTAAGAAACCATCTTCTTGTGTACCTATATTTCAAAATACAATCTATTTTTGATAAATGTTTTATTTAAAAATATCATATGTCAGATATAACGATATATCTTATCCATTAAAATGTTCCGTTATCATAGAGTTAGAATGAATATTATTTGAAAATATATCATTATAGAAAAAATACATCTTTTTTTTCGTTAATTATTTAATAATAATTTTCAATATGAATCGACTTAATGTCATATTGTTTACAGGACGAGCCAAAAATTTATACGCAAGTTTACAAAATCAATTACACTCTTAACGAGATACTTTTTTTTTGTTTAATTTTCTTTTGTTTTTTTTTTCTTTGTTTTTTTTTTCTTCAGATTGCAAAACTTATAAGTTCAGGAACTTTGGATCTACTTAAGGAAACTTTTATTCCAGCCGATCTCTGTATTTACGTCAAAGGCACGTTTTGTCCATTTTCTTTCTTTTTCTTTTTTTTTTTTTTTTTGAAATTATTCCTTCTATTTAAAAATTACAAACCTTTAATTAAATCACGTGAATCGAATCTCCTTTGAAAGTTCGCACATTGCCCGCAATTGTTGGCGAATTTTTTCAAACAGAGCTTTGGCATTCTCGGTATTTTTTTTTCCGGCAATATTCGAAATTTATTTGGCTCGATATTATATGTCGCAACATCGACGAGCGAGTCCTGATGATCTTTCATAGAAACGATATATTTTATCGACTGAGCTTTCGGTAAAACTTGTAGTGTTTCGTAAATATCGACATTTTTAATATCTTGACGAGTGTGAGAAATGAAACGTGGCATCACGCAAGATACATTTTCTCGAGGACAATTTCTCTTTCGTAAATCATGCAAGAGTCCTGTCAATTCGATTATAGCTTTACCAATACCTAAAAGATATGGTGAATGTGTGATCGTATTGATACTCTTTTCGGAAAACTTTTCGATCGATTGAAAAAGTCCTTGCTTTGTATCGATATCGAAGGATACCGTTCTCACGATGTACGATCCTGATGGCACCAGATCTAAAAAAATTCAAAATTTTCTCATTATTCAAACAAATAAAATTTCTAATCTATTCGCGAATAATCTATAAATGAATTTTCTATTATTATCAAAAAAAAAAAAATACAGATTGGGTCAAAGGTTATAATGTGATTTAAAAAAAAAAAAAAAAAAAAAGAAGAAAAATCGATTACTCCTTAACGAGACATATTAGAACTAATGTTCTTCTTTGAAGAGAAAGAAAAAGAAATTTATCTAAAAAGTCTCGAGAAGGAGTAATTGATTAAGAAAAAAAAAAAAAAAAAAAATGAAAAGAACTGCAAAAAAATTTTAACTCAACCTGTACAACGAAATATGTTTGAAATCCTAGAAAATTCTTTTCGTTAGATTAATATTTTATCGAAGCCTTCGAAATGTTTACCATCAACATGGGACCTGTCGAGAGATAAAACTATCCACGTTTTTCTAGGTCCTTCGACCTTTTCTCCCTTTTCAATCGACCTTTTTATATCGTCGATATTTCCGATAACAACGATCAGTGCTTCGGTAACATTTTCCTCCAATTCTTTAATATCCTTGTAGTTCTTCACGCATATACCAGAGTTTCTTGCCGCATCGAAAAAATAATCCAATAGAAAATCAGAATTGATTAGGACCAAATCGATAGATTCGAATCTCGTACTGATATAATGCACCATGATATTGATCAATGGCTTCGTCAGATTCTGTTCACTGTAAGAACTGATAGGTAATACACTAAAATTATGCAAAGGCTCGAGAATATTGTTATAGATGGCTGGTACAAGGACGCCCATTTCATAATTTTCAGAACAATCAATATCCACGGCAGCTTGTAAAGTTTGCTTATAAACCATAGTCTCTTCCTGGCACGTATCGAAGATCCTTAATCCTATAAAGATTGTTAAAAATTATCATATAGATCGTCTCGCGCGAGTATCGATGAAAGGGGAAAAAAAGGAAAGAAAAAAAGAAAAACAAAGAAAGAAATGAAAAAAATTTTTCTTTGATAATCCTAATACAAATTTATTCTCTGCTTTACCCAACGTTAAATCGGGCACGTATTTCAATTTGTTCAAGATTTTTACGACGAATATTGCCGTTGAAATTTCTTCGTATCCTTTGACAGACGTTAAGTTACAAAAGGTTCCATAGTTCAGATCGACGAAAACTACGGGACATTGGAACAAAATAATTTATTTATTTATTTATTTATTTATTTATTTTTTTTTTTTTTTAATCATATAAGAAGAAAAAGAAGAAGAAGAACAAGGATTTAAAGATCATGATTACTTACCGGATAACATTGCATCTCCTGGTATCTCTACGAGTGTTTGATTTTTTCCACATACTACTCGTTCCTCCATCGTAAGGAAGAACTTGTCAAAGTTCAATATCGAAAGGAACAACAATATGTTCGTCATCGAAAATCTTGACATAGTGATGACGATTGTGATCAAGCGAATCGTAATAGAGGATCGACGTTTTTCAAGAATTTTATAGACGACGACGACGACGACGACGACGACAACATTCTCTTTTCCCTTTTACGTTTTAGTTACGTACGAAGAAAGGTAAAAAAGAAAAAAGAAAAAAGAAAAAAAAAGGACTATTAGTTTGCTATTACTTGGCCGATGAAAATCCCTCGAAGCGTTTCCTTCTCCTCCTCCTCTTCCTCTACCTCTTGCTCCTCCTCCTCCTCTTCCTCCTCCTCCTCGGTCCTTCGTAATTCAATATATCACGATAGTCCTTTCATCATCGATCGATTTAGCTGGACATTGGAACACGAATCCTGGTCTCGTTAGATTTATCTCTTCGACGATTTGAATGACGTCAATCGAAAAAAAAAAGAGTAGAAGAAGAAGAAGAAGAAGAAGAAAAAGAATATTCGTAATTGGAGTAGATTATCGAAGATAGACGTAGAATCCACGTAAAAGGATTCTCTTTAATATTAATTTCGATTCCGTCGATTAAATTCAACCACGAGAGTCATATCTCGATGAAGAATTATCGTGATTATTGAAAGTACGATTCGATCGTCTCAAAGACAAGTTTTCGAATTAATACGTTGAAGTTGTTCGATGAATGTGTTGAGGATAATTAAGGTCGTAGAAATTTTCAAGGACGAGAACGAAGTTTCTTTTCTTCTTCTTTTTTTTTTTTTTTTCTAGAGAAGAATATCTCTTGGCTTCGAGTACACCGAGTATACACGTTGATGTACGAGAGAAACGTTGTTAACGAAAATAGGAAGTGTCCGATTGATTAACGATCTTCTTCGTACTGCGATATTTCTCATTAATCACTAATAATTCACGAAATTTGACGATAGCTTTTTGATTATTACAACGAAAACGACGACGATTACTCGTAGAACAAAGAGGTAGCTTCATGTCGATGCCGATAACGTTTAAAATCTCGACTGGGAAAAAGATATTCTCGAGCAACAGAACCGTGGAAGCCATATTTCTGCCTGGCCTAGACCCGCCAGTCTATGTACCTCTTAAACGAATTATATACTTCGGCCAACACAGTCACGTTGACTTTCTGCAGCCATTTAAGGTGAACATAATCTTTAATTGACTGACAGGGTCTTTTCCTTTTTACTTAATACCACTCCTATACAAAATTGTGTTACATCGATAAAATCGTTTTTAGAACGGTTCTATGACTAGATTGTTGTTCTTCTAAAAAAGGCTGACAATTGACCTTACGATCAAGAGCCATCTTTCCATTTCTCAGCCATCTTGTCGACCTTATTTCATTAACGAACTCGTTCGTTCCCCGTTGGTTTCATTAAATATCAATTTCAATTTTTATTCCAAATAATTTCTCTTTTTTCATCTTTAAATTAATTATTCTTAACAATTCATTGTCGTTATATTTCTCTCCTTTATTTTTATTCATAGTATTATTTCTTTTCTTTTTCATTTTGTTCCCTTTATCCATGCTCATTATTAAAACTGACTGAATCCAAATTTAATATATATATATATATATATATATATATATATATATATATAAATTTGTCAAACTATATAGAAGTTCATTATCTCAATAAAATAAATATGTCATTCTGAACAATTTTACTATCTAAATATGTCCTTAATTATATGTGAGATTGTCAAATTAATTATTCTTATCTATAGATATATTACATATTGTAATCTATAGGTATATATATAAATAGATGTACTTAATAAAACATTCGAGTAATGATTATATAAATATATATATATATATATATACACAATTTATAATACAATTGCATTCATATTTATATTTATGTATACATATATACATGAATGTATGTATCCAAGTCCGACTGATTTAGTTATCGGATGTACGTTTTGTACCGGCGTAATAGCGTTAATATTATGAAAGTCGAAGCGCGTGGGTTGCTCATAAAGACGACAAAAAACGACAAGCTTGGCTCGGGTAAGCATCGAGTTAATTAGATTCTAGCCTAACAAAACTAATTTAAACGCTTAAACCTTAAACTCGTTAAAAAGGACTATTCTCTCTTTCTCTTTCTTTCTCTTTCTCTCTCTCTCTCTCTCTTTCTTTCTCTTTCTCTCTCTCTCTCTCTCTCTCTCTCTCTCTCTCTCTCTCTCTTTTTCTCTTTTCTGTCATGTAGCAAAGTAAAAGCGATAAAAATTTATTTTAAAACTTTTATATGATACCTCTGCCAGGTAGAACTCACAAATTAATGTATTTCTATTTTTTTTTTTAATTCACCTCTTTTGAACTTCTTCAAAATACAATCATCACGTTTATATACATTTTTTAGTTATATATAAATCAACAAATATAAAAAAACGTGTGTACAGACATATATGAAATTAATGTCAAAATCAATCTGAAGATATTTAAACAAAGAAAATTGCAATTTTTATATACACACACATATGTATGCATGTGTGCCTGTGTTATAATCATAAGAACATTTTTAATAATTAATAAGAAAAATTCCAATTATGTGATTATGCAGAGAATGAAAAAAATTATAATCGTACTCGTCAAAATTTTTGTTTTTCTACGTAATCGTGATCATCGATCATCATCATCATTGTCGATCATACATTTATTTTATTTCCTTATCAAAATGAATATTATTTTATACATGATGCATAACTATCCATTATAACAATTTTTCTTCTCTCTCTCTCTCTCTCTCTCTCTCTTTGTCTCTCTCTCTCTTTCTCGCTCTCTATTCCTTTTATTTTCTGCAACGATAGATCGATCATAGAAACCGCTGATCGATCGTCCTTCGAAAAGACAAAACCTAGTTAAAATGCAATTCCAAAGGCGTGTTGTAATTTTGTGGATGAGAACACAATGAAATCTCTCTCTCTCTCTCTCTGTCTATGTCTCGATCATTTGTATCAATTAGTATACGAAGATAGAGAGATAGACAGACATCGAATGATTCTATACTGAAACGTGAAACGAATTAAGTGCAATATGTAATCAGTGTAAATTCATGGAGTCATAGTGTCTACTTTGTTGTCGTCTACACTACGGAAGAATAAAGAATGCTTTTACGTCAGCTACCTATAATAGTCTAAAATAGCGTCCACTTTATGCATCGTATACACCGATCATCGGAGTGCAAGGAATAAAGAAAGAGAGAGAGAGAGAGAGAGAGACAGCTAGAGAGTATAGCAACGTTAGACGATCGATCGTTTGCTATGCGATAACGACCGGCGTCCTCTTTTTTATATAGATTTATTCTTACAATAGTTAAAGTGTATCGTTCGATTTTATTTCTGAAAAATCGTAAACATCATCTATGAGAATTAATAAAAATTTTATGATAAGACAGAGAGAAATAGATAAATAGAGAAAGAGAGAGAGAGAGAGAGAGAGAGAGAGAGAGAGAGAGAGAGAGAGAGATAAAGGGTGTACGAGGAAAAAATGATAAGCAGCCTCTCAGTTTGCATTGTCCTATCGAAAATTTAGATAACAAGAGTATTATTGTAATTTCATTGGATCATATCAAGGTCGTCCCATGACGCAACTATGTACAGTTGCGAATGTTTCGGTATAAAGCAAACGACAGATAGCTGCGTTATTGTCGAACGACATTTCACCGACCTTAAACTCCGGATTGACGGCGACCTGAAAAAAAAAGGAAATAAAAAAGAATACGGCAGAGAGAGAGAGAGAGAGAGAGAGAGAGAGAGAGAGAGAGAGAGAGAGAGAAAAAGTGATAAAATGAAAGCTTTTTCTTAATTGGTGATGTGAACGTGCAATGTAAAATGACAGAGAATAAAAGGAAGGAAGAAGTTAATTAGAAATTTTTGTAGGCATAAAGGTTACTATTTAATAATAAAATTTATTAATCTATTATATATTTACCTTAAGCGTATATTGTCCTGGTTCTAACTCGGAAATATCCACCCACTGACAATCGATATTGTGTTTGTATATGTCGCTACAATTAACGGAGATTCCTTGGTCACCGTAATTCGCACATTTATATCTGTAAAAAAAAAAAAATATATATATATATATATATACACGAATCAATGATTATGAAAGATGTGATCTAAGTTAAAATTTTTAAATTAAAGAAAAAAAAAAAAAAAAAAAGTTTCTCCCGTAATTCGTACAATAAGGTATTAAAATTTTTTTTTTGTTTTATATTATTTCAACTAAATGAGATATTTGAAGAACTATTATTTAAGATGGAATACTTTTTATACACGGTGGACCAAAAGTTTCTCTTTTCTCTTTTTACTCTTTTTTTTTTTTAATAATCAATGACTCTCTCTCTCTCTCTCTCTCTCTCTCGACTTTCCAGGCTAATTTTTTTTCTTCTTTAAATAATCGTAAGAAAAGAAAAAATTAATAAAAAGGTAAGAAAAAAAAAATAATTAAGCTAAAATGTTTCGATAATGAGCGACTAATATTTAACATCAACTTTTGATCCAATCATGTATAATATGAATAATTACAAGATACTTCTGTCGTTCTTATACATTTACCGTGGCTGAACTCCTGGAATACATTGATTATCCTCCAAACAAAAGGATGCTTTGTGACCCTCTGCCACTTTGTTGCCACTCGAGTCGATGATATCAAATGTAGCGAAGACTTCCATAGAGTGATAATGCCTATAAAAAGAATAGCAACGTTTTAATGGATTAGTTACTCGAACCTCGGCACTTGAGCATGTCTCCTTGATCCATAGATCATACTTTCCAAACGATCTATTATACACGTCATTTTTACACAACCAATTCAATGCTACTACGAGTGTTACGGCAATGTTACAAGAAACATTGAAAAGCTAACTAACAAGGTCATTCTTATATTATTATTATGTATGTGTATATATATATATATATGTATATATAGTACACATCAAAATTCATTATCCCTTTTATATTTCAACGTACACGATCTATCAAGATGTTAATGCAAAATAGATGATCGATGTAACGAGATAAATTAATGTATTAATTAATTTTTCAATTAATTTTATATATGCTTATATAATATTTGTTTGAAAAAAAAAAAAGAAAAAGGAAGAAAAACAATAATGGCCCGAGCGTAGAATGTTTTTATTTTATAAATGTAGAAAAAAATGACTGAGAAATTTTGACGAACGATCGAACGGATCATATTTTAATTAATTCTTTCAATGACTTCAATATGTTATAAGTTTTTGAGAAATGACGAGTGAAATATTTTTTTTTAATCTTGAAATTGCATAACATTGATAGACAAACGTATTCTTTTATAATCAAATCGTAATATTAATCCAATATTCATCGAATTTAATATATTATATTTTATCGAGAGACAACTGGAACGAGAAAAATGGAAGTATTTTTATTTCACGATTTAAAACATAAAAAAAGAGAAAAAAAATGGAATATCATTTGAAAACTTCCATCGTTATTTAATTTTCGCCATCTTAAACTTCGATAAAATAATATAAAACGAAATAAACGAGAAAAATCACGTATGAATTTGATATCCGTCGTGATAGATTAAAAAAAAAAAAAAATGAATAAAAAAAATAGAAATACGTACATACATCGATAGGGATTTTATCGTAGTCAAGATTTTCTTGGCACGAGAGAGAGAGAGAGAGAGAGAGAGAGAGAGAGAGAGAGAGAGAGAGAGAGAGAGAGAGAGAGAGAGAGAGAGAGAGAGAGAGAGAAAGAGAGACGTCATTCGCTTATCAAAACAACTCACATGTGACACATGTGCCATTCCCATAAATGTTTAGGCACGGCTGGTCGGAAGTCAGCGGTTCCGGCATTTAAAATCCTTGCGGTGAACCTCAAGAGCCTTCTGCTCTCAAAATGCCAATTATATGATTCCTTTTGAATTTTGTATGCGCGCGAAGCCACGCAATTTTCTTCCATAGCGCATTGAAGCCAGTAAAGCTGACGATCTTCCAAATGTGCTGTTCTCATTAACTCGATATGATCAAAAATGAGATCAGGCATATCTCGAGAACACACTACACCCGCTACATTCTCGTTCCCACCTATATAATATATATATATATATATATATATATATATATTTGTTTTTTATATAATTCTTTTATTAATTCATTAATTGATTTATAAAAATATGAATATATCAAATTTCTCATTAAACAATATATAAAAATGTTTATTAAACATTAACATAATTCAATATCTTGTTATTTGATTAGATGTAAAATTTATTAAAAAAAAAAAAAAAAAAAAAAGAAAACAAATAAAAAGGCAAGAAATTTAGAAATTCCAATTTTGATAATATGATTTCTAAAAATTATAAAAATATTTTATTTTTATAAAAAAAAAAAGAAATCAAAGAAATTAATCAAGGATTATTATCCAATTATTCGAAATAAAATATATAATTTGAAGTATAAACATTTAAGTAACATAATATATATACATATATATATATATATATAAATATATATGTCCTGGTTAAATTATAATTAGAATTTCAGCTGTAATAATATATACCTGAACAATCAGGAATTCTATCGTGTAAACATTCAACCAGATTCTTTTCATCCCCATGACACCGTACACCGCTAATCGCTATGGGTATAGTCTCGCCGACAAAATAGTTGCTTTGTGTCGCGTCGGAGGCGTAGCCAAGGCCTAGTTGACGACAGACCACCCCTGCTTCGAAGAGGGACCAGCCGTCGCCACATACGACACCCCAATCTAGAACGGCAAACGCTTGTATTTATGTACCTAACTGTGTACCCACGTTCTGTTCAAGTTTGCCGACGATCCTCGGTGATTAGATCGGAAAAAAAATCAAAGAAAATATACAATAGAGAAAGAAAATGATTGTAAAATATAAAAAAGAAAAAAATCTAATAATAATTTTATTATTATTATTATTATATTTTTATATTACATTACATCTCTATGATTTTATTATTATATTTATTGTTGTTGTTATTATTATTATTATTATTATTGTTACGGAATGAATTAACAAGATTAATTTACCAGCTGTGCCCAGTTTAATTTCAAGTCTACCCTCGTTATGAACTCGACCTCCAGCCAATCGTAAGGCCATGCCCTGCTGATGCACATCCTTGATCCTTGACTTTTCTTGTTTCTCTTTAAACGAGGAAGACAATGACAATTTTTCTTCTTCGTGAAAACAAATAACACCGGCAGCCTCGTTGCTCTCACAATCAGAATTTCCCCATCCATCGAAACGACATTTGGAAAGTTCCTCTTCTGTACCGTCGCAATAAATATTATCCATCCAGTACTTTCCTGGAAAAAAAAGTAAAGAAAAAAAAAAAAAAAGAAAAATAAGAAAATCAATCGTCCGATCTATAACTTCGATCTTCTTCGATCAAACGATCCTTTTTTTATTATCACATTGATCGAGATTTTAATTAAATCAATAAATATTCTCAATTATTCTTAATTACTTATTTCAACAATGAGTTTATATTCGTTTACAAAAAAAAAAAAAAAAAGAAAAAAGAAAAAAAAAGTACATATTAGTTCTTCTCTTTTTTCATTTTGAATAATATTTATACATTGGTACTAGTGAAAAGAAAAATTTTTCTTCAAATGGTTCTTACTATTGTCCGACTAATTTCGAATGAAAAAAGAAGAAAAATAAAGAAATGGTCCTCGGATAAACGCTATTTCGAGAAGTAGTAAAATAAAAGGAAAAGAAAAAAAGAATAATAAAAGAAAGAAAATAAGAGGATGAAGAAGAAGAAAGGAAAAAAGAAAGGATAAGGATGGACTAATAGTATTTTTGAGGTCGAACAGAGAAAGAAATAAAAAACAACAAAAGATTTTCCTCACTTTTGGCCTGTCCAAAATAACCGTTGGTCGTCGGTTTAATTGCACCGTCGAACCCTAATTGCCTGCAAACCACATTGGCCTCCAAATAATCCCATTCGTCGTCGCAAATACTACCCCATTTACCATCGTGCAATATCTCTATATTACCTGGATAACAAATGACAAAAAAAGAAGAATTGAAAAAAATAATAATAATAATAATAATAATAATAAAAGAAGAAAAGAAAATAAATAAAGAAATAAAAGAAATAAAAGAAAAATAGCTCGTTCAATATTCTCAACGTGAGATCGGTCGTAACGATCTAAATTAAGAATCTACGATATCGCGATGACGTTCGAATTTTAGAATTCCCGCGAAAAGGATCTCTTGATAAAAATGGTGAAAGAGAGAACTCGTTAAGGCATCCATTATTATTACATCGGACTGATCGACGCGCGAGAAGATAATGCCAATAAAAAGATTATTACGTCACGGCAATATACCCATAAATTTCATTTTATCTTCGATTAATATGAATAAGAAGAATAAAAAATATTTTTAATATATCGATACATTTTTTCTTTGTTTTTTTTTTTTCTTTTTTTTTATTGGTTAAATATATAAACACATAGATGCGTTAAATATATATATATATATATATATATATATATATATATATATATATATATACGTGTAAAATTAATATTTATGAACATATGTACATATGCATATGTATATTCGTGTACATCTACATACCCCACGATTCACGGTATCGCCTAAGTACGTCACGTATGTGTTATGTGCGTCAAGTACATAGTTGACATAAATCTTACTTGCGTTGACCTCTTTTTAATCATTCATTACATAACGTTAGTAGTATAATATACCTAACAATCGTCTGCTGATAAAAATATATTTTTTTTATTCAATTAAATACCGCGTTTAAAAAACCCTTAAAATCCGCTTTATCGATTTCATCCCATCATAAAATATATATTTTCGCGGAAAATTTTAAATGCTATGCGACCTTTCAAACAATTTCTCTCTCTTTCTCCTCTCTTCTGTTTCTTCTTCTTTTTTTTCTCCTTTCTTTTTTTATCCTTTTCTTCATAATTTTTCAAAACGTACCCACCTTCGTAATCGCCATTCTCACCACCGACCAACTTTATCGCACCCTCTTGCTTTTTTAACTTTCGAAAATCTCTTTTAAGCTTCTTCACTATTCGTGCCTTTTTCGCGCGCTCCATCGTCGATACGTTATCGTCATCGGCGATCACGTAAAGATCAAACAAAGCCGATACGATCGTCATTAAAACGAGCAGTCCTCTCTCGCTTAATAAATTATTCAATCTCATCTTTCGGATCTTTCTTTTTCATTCAAATTTTCTTATAATCTCTCTCTCTCTCTCTCTCTCTCTCTCTATTTGTCTCTCCCTTTTTTCTTACTTATATCGTCACGAATGAAATTTTTTAATATTATTGACGAAATTCGACATTTCGAATAGCTTCGTAAAAAAGCATGGCGATCAATGATTCATTTCTTTTAATATACCGATACATTTGGCAATGGCTATTGTAATTCGATAAAAAATTTCTATCATAGATCGTTTTAAAAGGTCAAAATTTAAAGATCTTTCTTCGAAATCGTTCGTCCCGCGAATGTCCGTCTGGACACATTAAAAAACTTAAGCAACACGTGTATTTCGTTTACCGTTCTCCGGACTACTGATGCGTGCACCGTCGATCACGCAATGTAATATCTTTGCTCTCTCATGTAACGCAAGAGTATCGTCTACGTAACGCAACGAACGATGTAGTATATATATATATATATATATATATATATATGTATGTATGTATGTATGTATCTATGGAGAAGTTGGCACTTCTTAAGAGGCACACATGCTAGATCGTTTCTTTTTCTCTCTTTTTACAGTCCCCTCATTCTCTTCTCTCTGTCTCTCTCTTTCTCTCTTTCAAAGTAGTTTTTTTCATGTTCGTCATCGACAGCGATGAAATGATTGAAATTAAAGACGTTTCCAAATTAAAAGACTAAGCTTAAATTTATCGTACGATCAGATTCCTTTCTTCTTTTTCTTTTTTTCGTTTTTTTTTTTCGACTAAACCAAAATTTCAAATTTTTTCATTATTTCATCAAAAGAAAGAAAGAAATAGACAAATTTACAAATGATATTATTATAATTAAACGAAAATATTTTAAGTTTCATAGCATACGTCGTGAATAAAATTTTCAATGTGAATTATCACATCGAACAAAAATATTCTTACTTTTTTCATATTTTGATAAAAAAAAAAAAAAAAATAAATAAATAAAAAAGAATCCAAAGAAAGAAAAATTTGCAAGCGTTATCACGTTTTATTGAAAGAAAATTTTAGAAAGTTGCGCTATGAAAAGAAAAAAGAAAAAAAAAGAAAAAAAATAAAAATAGAAGAGAAAAAAGAATATTTCGTTCGATTTACGAGTTTCCATTTCGACGTTTAAAAAGAAAAAAGAAGAGAAAGAAGAAATGTAAACAATTCGATAGCCACAATAATGATAATAATAATAATAAAAAAAAAAAAAAAAAAAAAAAAAAACTAGTTGACCAGATTTTGTATATATTTCCTTTTTTATTTCCCTTTTTCTTTCTTTTTCTTTTTTTTTCCCCTTTCAATCGTTGATAAAGCATAGCTATGAGTTATGTTTGACATCGTGGAAATATGCGCAATCGCTTCGTCGAGTCACCACCAAAGAAGGCTTTAACGTACTACATAAGTACGGATCGGATTCTTCGGAGAAATTCTTCGAATTCCATTGATGCATGGCCGAAGGTTTCGATAGGGATCGTCGAAGACGTTATCCGGCTGTTTCGTCTAAAGCGCACGAGCAGTCATTGCCGGCTAAATGTGGCGCCATTGTTCGTTTCCTTTGAAATTCATTATCTCGTGACCGCTCGTCAAAGTGACGGTGATATTAAAGGATTCCCTTTTCTAAGAAGAAATGTAAACAAGATGGCAATCCCCTCATACTAAATTTATTTATTCATTTTATTATTATTATTATTAATATTATTGTTATTATTATCTTTCTCTTCCATATTTTCATCGTATACTGTGTCAAAGTATCGTTTAAAATACACCCAAATAAAACGGATAAACGATAATGATATTCATTATCTCTCGTAAAAGTGATGATGGTGATGTTAAAGGATTTTTCTTTTTTTTTTTTCTTTTTCTAAGAGAAGAAATATTCCAACAAGACGACCTATCCTCTCGTGTCTAATTTATTTATTCATTTTAATTATTTATTATTATTTATTTATTTATTTATTTATTTATTTGTTATTATTTCTTTTTGGAAGTCAGAGCGTTGTTTCTTTCGTACGAAATCGATGATAAATAAAATTCATTAAGACGTTCATCGATCGTCAAATGAACGATGAACGATACAAGATGGCAAACTTTTTTTCCATAATTTGTTTATACATTTCTTCTTATTATTATTATTATTTCTTTTTCTTTTTTTGCTTTTCTTTTTTTCTCTCATCTTGGACCGTATCAATGCATGTCGTATCATTCGTGAAAATACATAAAATGGATAAGTGATTGAAAAAAAGAAATAGGGATATATGGCAATTTGATCTCTAAGGAAAAAGATCTAGACGTTTAGAAAGCCTCTGTGGCTGAGCAAAACGTGGTCGTTGTTATTCGATACGTTAGTCCGTATCGTTCGGAGTTTCACAATCGTTTGGGTCGCCGATTCGAAAAGGGTAACGTTGATTATTAAAGGAAGAGAGTAAGAGTGTCGAAAGAGAGAAATAAGAGAACAAAATGGAATGGGAAGGGAAGAGAAGTAAAAAAAAAAAAAAAAAACAAAAATAGAAGAAAAATATCGTGACGGAAAGTCAATCCAAAAAGAAAAAGAGAGAGAGAGAGAGAGAACGAAAAAAAAAAAATAAAAAAAAAAGAAAGAAAGAAACGAACAAATTTTATGATTTCAAATCAAGATAATTAATTCGAACGGCTTCGAATCAATCTATAACTTTGTGTAAGACATTTTTTTTTCTTCCTGGAGAGTTGTTAGATCGTGAGCTCACGCTACTCGTCATCCACTTGACGAGGACGGTTATGAAAAAAAAATGAGAGAGAGAGAGAGAGAGAGAGAGAGAGAGAGAGAGAGAGAGAGAGAGTGAATGAAAGAAAGAGAGAAACAAAAAGGAGAAGAAGGAAGTACATATATATACATATATAATTCGAATAACAGGCTCCTTTTGACACGCTTCGTTTCGTGGCGTAACCGCGACTAACGTGGCGAAGCAATTATCGTAAGCTATTAGTGAAAACGGCCGACGGCTAAAATTCTTGACATACTTTGAATGTGAGCCTTCTTATCGTAAGGGATGAAATCATTTGGATCCATTAAAGGACGAAACGAAAGAGGAAAAAAAGAAGGAAAAAAGAAATTTGATTTTCTAAATCTCGATTACTTTTGATCACCCTTGAGGAACTTCGATCGATATCGAGTCAAATAAAAATATGAAATTATTTAATTATTTAATTTACGAAATCCTTAAAAGGTATAGAATATATATATATATATATATATATATATATATATATATTTTTATCGATGTACAAATTTTGTAATAGGATAAGATGTTTCCTTTTTTTTAATTTTTCTTTTCTTCTTCGTTTGTTTTTTTTCCTTTTCTTTTCTTTTTCTTTTTTTCCTTTTCTTTTACCAAAGGAAATAAAAGTAACGTGTGGGCGATGAAGCCGCGTTACATGAATTATTTATATCCAATCTATAAATTATAAACTCGTTCCCGTACGACCTATGTATGTATGATCCGATGATATAC